TATATATATATATATATATATATCCCACAGGAGTAACGAAGATGACATGCCAACCATAACTTGGAGAATCCTACATTTCAACATAAACAATGATGATGAGCGTAAGTGCATTGAGGCTTTTGAAATCAAGAAACGAGCGGGAAACTTAATAAACGGATGCATTGGTAGAACAATTAACATTTAATCTGTATTTTGCATGATACGCATGAATAACAACATTTTAAATTTTAGCTCGTTATTGTCCACATTCCACCTTTTTTATTTAAATTTAGTATATATATATATATATATATATATATATATATATATATATATATATATATATATATATATATATATATATATATATATATATATATATGAATAGGTTTTGGGAATCATGCCTGGTATATATATGAATATAATTTTTTATTTAAAAAATTTAAAAAAGACTTCTACAGGCAATAAAAAAAATTTTAAATTTTGTCCCAACGTTTCGCCCATTAAGGCTTCTTCAGGGGAATGTTTTAACTGGTCACGTCCGTTGAATATATACTACAAAGCTAGACTAAATTTTGATAAATACTATTATCATAACTCCTATTAAGCGGGCACCCCTCTGTAACTCCTATTAATGCGGGCACCTTACTTGAGGTCCTCTATTAGGCAGACAGATGACGGATTGTCTAATAAAAGTTATTCAGTATTCATGACATGTTAAAGTTCAGCAGTTTCTATAGATAAATACATTAGACTAATCTAATTTAATATTCGATGTCAAACTTTTAACCAGCTGCAAGAGAAACTATCTCCTTTAATTTAAATGTAAACTTACAAGGAGTTCGACGCTATAACCAGCCCCTCTGTTGACATGTTTACCCTTAATTATTACTGTTCCTGAATTGGTTGCACGTTTCAAAATGTTACCCACCCCGCCATCAACTTAGGGATGTGACCAATGACTTCCATATCATTTGTCATTTCATTCAGATGAACGAAATCTTTTCTTCTGTAATCTGGTAGATCTCACAGAAGCGTTTGCATGAGCTTTCAATTGCCTTTTACGAACAACAGCGATTTTTCGAAATGAACTTTTATGCTAATTATTTGCTAGGTATTTTTTACAGTTTTGATACTCAAATTACACACCCAAATTTGCCTCCTGCTGTGTTTTTCTGCAAAACCCTTTTAAGTGGACACCCCTTTTAAGTGGACACTTAGGTGAGGTCCCAAAGGTGTCCGCTTAATAGGGGTTTGACTGTATATATATATATATATATATATATATATATATATATATATATATATATATATATATATATATATATATATATATATATATATATATATATATATATATTATATATATAAACACTACCTTTGTTTATCCCGCTCCCCAAAGGCCCACCATTACCTTAGACAAAAGTTCCTCCTTGGCCTTCCGAGATTGCAACTGTACTTCGTAACGCTTCCTCCCCGCCTCCTCATCCTCTTTCGACTTATACTGTAGGGGTGGTACCTCGCTTACGGCCCCTGCCCTACTTTCCACCGCTATCGGCACATACCACAAACAAGCCTTATTACATAACTTATGCTCCTCCTTGAGTAAATTCTCAGCAAATACCAAAACTTGAACTTCTAGTGAATGTTTTGAACTGTACACCAAATTCGCATGAACGGTCGCAAGTTCACCAACAAACATTGGTTTGACAAAGTTGGTCTGTTCGACCCTAACCAAGGCGGCCCAAACTACTGGCCGGCCCACAGGCTGATTCTTATTGCAATGCCTAGTAGCTATAATGACACCTGCTTGTTCTATCATGTGCAGTATCGTGCCCCCATGGACATTTCCGGCAATGTTTGTGTCATCGGGTGTCATAATTCGACTAACTTCAACACTGCCTTGAGGAAATAAGACGCTAGGGTGTTCTTCTGATCCCATTGTTTTTTAGTCTTGGATAAGTTTTTTTAATTTCTAGCTAAATTCTAGGACAATTTATTGGCCTTTTATAATCCGTCGTTATTCAACTCAAGTCTTGAACTTGTATGAACTTTGATCCACTTGAAGTCCCACAACAAATGACTTTCAGAAGGCGAAATGCCGTTAAAGTGCCAGCAAGTGGTCCGCGGTTTTACAGGATAACATTCAGCGGGGTGATAGCTTACCAAGTTCTTGTGGTGCAAAGCTTGACCACGTTCCCAGGGCCTTTTTTGGCAAAGCTTTAGCGTTCTTAGTAATTGTAACAACTTTGAAATTTACAACCAAATATTAGAATCAAAATTTACAATCAAAATTTACAACAACGGTTTCTATTTTATGTAAAGATGGAAGGGGGTGGGTGGGTGTGGGGGAACTTCCCTCTGTACCTAGTCAGCATCAGTTCTTGTTTACGTTTTGCTGCCAGGGAAAACGAAAATCGTGTCAAAAGCTGCAGAAACTGTTTGGCGGTTGGAATCTGTGTGGCGATATTTTTTATATGGTTTTGAGATTTGACTCCACATGAGCCGGTTTACCAGGCTTCGATCTGTTTGAGCGAGGCAAGAATGCAAGATGTAGCCTGCATGGCAGGCCCTCAATTTTATGGGGGGCCTGATTTGCAGCGGGCAGGATTTTAGCAGGCACAGGGGAGGATTCCCTGTGCCCGCCAAAATCCTGCCCGCTGCAAATCAGGCCCCCCATAAAATTGAGGGCCTTCCACACAGGCTATGCAAAATGCCAAGATCTTGCCATCTCGCCTTCCCGGGTCATATAAACTTACTTAGCGGGCCAGCAACCCTCGACCTCAACTTTTGACCATCGACATCGACGTATGACGGTCTATGACCATCAACCCTCGACACTCGACAATTACCAAAACTCCAACTATAATTAGATTGTTGTTGTCGTTGTGTGAAATTTAAATTTCTCCTGTGACATTTTGATTCATGGACACTAAATATAAACTTTGTTGTGGGTGGAAAGCGATCGGATTAAGGTTTGTGTCAGGCGATTATTTTTAAAAAAAAGCCTGATCTCTGTTCTCAGATTAGCCGTATGGCTACCCATGATATAATACAAAACCCTGAGTAATAGTATCAGGATATTTGGATATTACAGTATCAGTGGATATTATACTCAAAACTGCAAGTAGCCACTTTAATCAAGGAAGCATCGGTCTACGGCCGATGTTATTTAGTAGCCGAAGCATGCATCAAATATGGCCGACCAAGAAAATGACGAAGATATTTGGGACTCGTGGGAAGATATGGCTGAATCTGGGGTGAGAAAAACACAAATAAGCTTTAAATAATTGCCGCTTAAACTTTAATACATGCTCCTTTACATGTGACCCTTTTCTTTTCATAAAATAGGGCTGTTTCGCGTGCACATTTATGTTTCTTTTTGAACGATTTGCAGGTTAAATTGCAGTAGGCATACTGTGCTTTTGTATTGTATTGTGTTGAGCGTTGTTTCGTGATTTTCATAGGAACTGGAAAGGCGAATGGAAGAAAGGGAACGAGAACACATGAAATTAAGAGATGAAATCGATAAAAAGTAATAGTTTTATTATTATGGTTTGTGATAAATATTGATCATTTTATAAATTTAATATGACCTACGTTTTATATATGTGCAGACAGTTATAAATATATGATTGGCATAAAGCTTCTGCCGTTTATAGCCTCGTGGATACGGTTGTGTAGTCTTTTCTAAGTAAAGTAATTTTTTCACAAGACCTCTCTCTAATTAATTGATATATACATTTTGTAAACAACACATTGAACAGCAGATTTATGGTAGCTTCATATTACTTCGGTAATATGTGCAATATTACTTCATCAATATGTCATATGTGCAGTTTAACCACAGTGGAAAGTTGGGCACTTTAACGGGAGATCTCCCGCGGCAGGCATAGGTCAAAAACTGCTGATGCGGCAAAATCTTGCGGCAGAAAAACTGTAAAATTGATATTGCGGCAGAATTCTGCGGCAGAAATAGTTTAGAAATTCACCAAGAATGGGGTAAACTATCAAATTGGCAGCTTTAAAGTTTAACAAACACTTATATTATTATAAAATATTAAGTTATTAACAAAAAGATATTTAAAAAAGGTTTAAACACAATAAAAAATCTAAACTGACACTAACTAAAAATAGTAAAAAACATAAACCGCCATTTTGAATACTGAATTATCACAATTTATCCCCAATTGTCCCCATTACCGGTTTATCTCAAATCCGGCCGGAATTCCGGCCGGAATTTTGTTCCAAATCCGGTAAATCCGGTTCCGGCCGGATTTGAAAATTCCAAATCCGGTGCACCCCTAATGTTTACTGTTTAGTGGTCAGCAGTATTGCGTGTAGTTGTTTGATTTTTTACCTGCGGCAGCATATTATCGGCATTGCGGCAGGATAGAATGCATGGTCTTGTCAACTGCGGCAGCCAAAGCGTACTTTCCACTATGGCAGTTTAATACATAAGCCCTGGGCTTATATTCTTTCGTAAGTGATTTTTGATGGGCTTATATAAGGGGAGGGGGGGGGGGGGCTTATACATGGATGATCTTATGCATTAGTGTAATAGTGATAAACAAGTACAGTAATAGTGATAAACAAGTTAAGTGTTAAGCATAGTAATAAATAAATAGTGATTAATTAATAGTGGTAATAGTGATAAACAATCCAGGGTGCATTTTAAGTGGCCTACGCCGAAGATCTTCAGCGTGAGTTTGGCAAATTACAATAGTATCTATAGTTAATATTGGCATATCTTCAGCGTAGACTTTACACGGAATGCACCCTGGTAAACAATAGTGATAAACAAGTGGGCTTATATTCGGGTGGGCTTATATTTGGGGGGGGGCTTATATTTGGAATGAGGTGTTCGTTAGTACATGTGGTCGGCTTATACACAGGGGGCTTATATTCAGGGGGGTAGGGTGATGCGGTTATTCGGTTAACCGGGATGAATCGGTTATTTTTACAGATCGGTTTCACAAGTCTTCTAAATATCAGATAACCGACTAACCGAAAAACCGATTCAAAATATAAAATTCAAAATAAAAAGACAAACAAGCGTGATATACTCTTTGGTGATTACACGATTTAAATCAATGCTAGAAGCCTAGAAAAGCGCTGCGACTCAAATGGCAGATTAAAAGCGGATCAAAACAAGCTTAAAGCTTCCGGTTTGATTAGCTAAGAGAAAGGCGGACGTCTGCAAAGACGTCACGTGGATAACACACAATACATGTTGTTTATTTTTGTCAAAATAATTTCATTGATTAAAAGAGTCGGTTATCCCGGTTATTTTGTGACGATTCTCGGTTTCGGTTATTTTACGAAACCGCATCACCCTAGGGGGGGGGGGGGCTTATAGTCAGAGGTTTACAGTAGTTTTGGTTTGTATAATACTTTATGATAATAAACTACCTCATATGGTATACAGCCGAACCCTGGAAGTTCCACACTATAACCAGCCATCTGTTGACATATTTACCTTTGATCACTACTGTATTATGTAACTAAATTAGTTGGGTTTACCCCCTTCTGTGTTCACCATTGCAAACCCTTATTAATTAAGCAGACACAGCCCCTTTTAAAGGGACACACTGGTGGGGTCCCGAAGCTATCCACTTAATAGGGGTTTGACTGCATTTTATACTGTAGATATCATATAGTGGAAAGTATGTGTGTTCTTCCGCAGAATATTTCCACAAGTCTACCACGGACATTTCTGCAAAACCTCTGACCATGTCGAAGGTTTCTGTGGTCACAATCTTAGAGGTTTAACCTACAGTACCGGTATTTAAAACGTTTTTTCCACTCAAAATTTATATTTATAGGAATTAACTGGTTATAAAATCTGCAACCTAAAAGCTCTAAACTAGTGCTGTTATTGTATTCTTAAGTTGACTTGCTGATACTTTTTTGGACATATTCTTTGGCGATCTTTGGCTTTTCCCCAATACAATTTTTCCATTGCTCCTTACATTAACCAATTCATATTTGCTGAGTGATTTACAGACCAGGATGCATTCTGTGTAAACTCTATGCTGGACATATGCTAACATTTATCATTGATCATGGACAGGTTGTTCAAAGCACGATTAACGCTAAGCATGGGTTAAATTTAACCCATTACTTTGGTTTATGTACATCTGTACGTCTGTTTATTTCAAAACTTTAGAAATTCAAATGTCTGATGATCCAGACAAGATTTTGAAAAAATATAGTACTGTAAAACTACATATTTTTGAAGGTATGCTGTAAATATATACAGTGGGGGTCAAAAGTCTGAGTCCAGTCAATATGATTTTGCCTTTTATTGTTATACAATATATTTTTACACAAAACATGACTATATGTGCATCAAATTAGGATTTACATCAACGTTGGAGTAAGGAATTTTGTATGTACCAGAGAATACCACACAAATTTACATGTTCCATATCTTTTGTCAAATGCATAGCCTGTTAAATATTTTTTTAGTAATAGTTTTATTTTTTTCTTCCTGTGTAACCTATTGAGAATTTATGGGAACATTTGAAATGAGAGAAAGTGAAACATAATCCCACAAGTAAAGACAACCAACCTATGGGATGTCGTTATATCACAGGTTATATATAGTCAATAATGCTGGAATAACCTTAAACCATCAATCATGGGCGTCAATCCTAGGGAGATGGGGGGGGGGGATGCATCCCCCAGTTTTTGGAATGGGGGGGGGACGAATATCTAATTATCCCCCCACTTTTTAACATGTCTAATGAAATTTTGTTTCTTGGGAATCTGGAAACCTAATCCCTGGAATGCTATTCGTTCAGACTTGTGGTGGAAAGGAAGACATTTAATAAGGTGAAGTACAATATATGACCTTTCTGTAGTTGCTGGGAGCAAATACTGACATGTATCGCAAATGTTATGTGAATACTAAAAAATATTCAAATTGAATTCAAATTTGTACATGTGTTGTAATTTTATAAACATTTACATAAAGGCACAATTTGTCATATTCACTTCCTGCTCTAACTGGCAAGCTGCACTGAATGAGAAAATAATTTGTTATATGCTTGTTTTTGTTTTTTATTATTATGCCTGTAAAAAGTATTTAGAAGTTATTTACATTTTATTTTTCTATTTTGGATAGGCTAGAGGCCTTCTAGAAACCTAATAAGCTTTTTAATTAAGACCCCTTACATTATTTCGTTCTTTTATTTAGTCGATAACTCCTATGGGTTCAGACCATGGGGGCCCACAACCCCAATGAGCTGAACAGGGGCCCCCATGCAGGCTCAGGCTGTAGAGCAAAAATATTGGCCAAAGAGTCCTCTGATATGTTACAATGTCATTTTCTGACCATCAGAATTCTGTAAAATCTCTCACGCCAAAGTCCAGGAAATGGCATTTCGGAGACTCTAGATTAAAAAATTTTCCGGGTGAGCCTGCACATACGGCGCTTAACTCGTGCCTTTGGCACTTCTACTAGGGGGGCCTTCGAAAATTTTGAACCGGGGGCCCCTAATATAACGTTATGCAACTGAGTCAGTTCGAATTATTATCTTGAACAAGGATAAAAGTATATATACTATATATGTATATTTACAGTAAAGAAGGTGATAATGTATTTTAAACTATTATATATCAATTATTGAGCTAATGAGTAATGGACATAATCGTAATTTACTACTTTAACGACTAAATTAAGATTCAGACTAGATGGTTTTATTTTACCATTTTCAAAAGTTCAAATATAGTAAAATATTAAGTCTAAAATACAAATGAACAGTAACTCCGAATAACATTTTGTTTTGATTTATTGATTCAATAAATCAAAACAAAATGTTATTCGGAGTTACTGTTCTTTTGTATTTTATAAAAATACTGAGTGGTTCCCGTAATTATTAAGTCTAAACATTTCATTTTTGTAGTTTCTCGCCTGACTCCAATTAACAACTTTAATGTGCTTTATCACACTTACACAACCTTGTTTTTAGCGGATTTCACACATGGTTAAAAATGGATTTAAGATCATGCACATTGTACTATTACTTTACAAGTGCCTCCAAAACGGAAATGCCATTTCAGTGTACCAATATTAAAAACATTTCGGGTAGCATACCTCCGGACCTTCCTAATTTGGAGTCCGTCCCCTCACTTTTTGGGATGGATTGACGCCCTTGCCATCAGTACTAAGAAAACTTGTTGAATCTATGCCAGGAAGAGTTGAAGCTGTTTTAAAATCAAAAGAAGGTCACAGTCGCCACACAAAATATTAAAATAGTTCACTTGGCTATAATATAGCATAATCAATTCCAACGTTGATGTAAATCCTTATTCGATGCACATTCGATGTAAATCCTTATTCGATGCATTTGTGTAAAAATACATTGTATATCAAGAAAAGGCAAAATCATATTGACTGGTCGACTCAGACTTTTGACCCTCACTGTGTACATTACAATGAACTTTTAAGGTGCGTAAACCAAGGTACGTTAATCACTAATGTTTTAAAGTAATCTCACACCAATACGCCAACAAATTTCGTAACCTCGCACAAAAAATCTCCAGTGCAGAGAACATGGAATGCAGTCTGGTTATGGAGATCTAAATTGTAGGTTGCTTTACCCTAACCAAAACTCCAAAAACTAAACCACTAACCTGCAAATTCAACAGGCAATTTATACCCCCTGGTTGGTGGTTGAGTTTTGAGTTTTGGTAAGGATAAAGACCCCAGTTTAGGCCGGTTAGGGTTTGATGTTGGTTAGGTTTGACTTCATTGCTTTAAAGCAGCATAAGAATAGCCAAAATGACCTGATTAACCTGCACCAAATTGTAAATTTGATCATTTCTTGTATAAATTGTGATAAACTTCCTGTTGCATGAACCGAGCACCATTGGTTTTGGTGCAATGGACCATTTGCATTATAGACTAAATTTTGATCTAGACAAAAATTTCATCACAGCTTGAAAGAGCATCACAAAATTAGTAATATTCCAAAGTTTCGTTGCGAAATGTTGTAAAATGCGGATAATATAGCCCTGCGAAGTTTGCAATTTTCAGTCATTTTGTATTACAAACGGGAAATTGATGCGCCAACACCCGATTGGGCTGTCAATTTCCCGTGCGTAATACAAAATGACTGACAAACGGCAAACTTCGCAAGGCTATATTATCCGCATTTTACAACATTTCGCAACGAAACTTTGGAACATTACTAATTTTGTGATGCTCTTTCAAGCTGTGATGACATTTTTGTCTAGATCAAAATTTAGTCTATAATGCAAATGGTCCATTGTCCAATCATAAGGAGGCAGGAGGTCATGCAGTGCTGGAAAATGTGTGGCAACACCAGCATGGTACCACTGGCAGGAAATTTTAAACAAAATATCTTCGCAGGAAATCTTGCACGAAGTTCTTGACATCTGAATATATACTGTGATGTCATATAATACATCTGAAATCTACATATTAAGCAGGACGTTTTATATTTGACTTACACAGGAATTTTTATATTTGGATTTTGCTGCCAGGAAGAGAAATGTTGCTTGTGATGTTACTCTGAGTGTGAATCCACACCGGGCAAGCTTGGAAAATATGCCTACTAGAAATACATGCATGCAGCAAACCCTCGCCTATATTTTCCAAACATTGTTTCAACATGAAGTATTCGTAATTACGCCAACACTGAACGCAGGCTCGCGTTGCCACGTCATGTTAGTCATGGCAACACGATAATACACGCTTCCGGAAAGTACGTCACTTTGGCTATAGAGCCTCGTTTTCGTGATTGAGACGCGGCCTTTAACTGATGTCAGATGTGACCAAAAAGGCAGAAACATACAAATACTCAAAGGCCCTGTTTACACTATACCGGATTCGCTGGTCACGACATCTTTTGCCGTTACGGAGCAATGGTTAGTAGCCATACCTACAAAGTCGATACCTACAAAATTTGACCCACTCCGATAGCAATCCGGTGTAGTGAAAACGGGGCCAAAGTTGCAGATAATTCAAACGTTTCAAATGAATTGGTTCATGTGTGCAACTGAATTGGTAGTCGAGTATTTTAGGAATACTTCCATTGCCACGGCTGTATATAATGTATAATATTTGTTTCTTTAAGATTATTTGATCCAGGTGTTCGGGTACTTGTAGATACAGATTCAAATAGAACAAAATATAATCCTCAGGTATTGTATTCTTGAACTTGCATTGATATAAATCAGTAATAATAATTGTGGCTGCCAAATTTGACTGGTCATCATGCACGAGACCCCGCACTCCTTGGGGGGGGGGGGGGATGTCCCAAGGGGACATGTCCTAAGGGGATTCCCCTTATTACGTTTTCGTATAGCGCTTTGCATTGTGGTTATAGTGGTATCACTGATAAAGATAGCGTCCTCGAATGAAAATATTTAATGTTTTCGGAATATATTGCTGTTGGCTATCGCGCACCTGGCTGACCCTAGCTTTTTTTAAAAGTTCTTGCACGGGTCAGGACAAAAAATAAGCCATCTTGAATATCAGTGATACCACTATAACCACAATGCAAAGCGCTACGAAAACGTAATAATGGAATCGCGAATTCCAGCATTCTGAGAAAACATTTATGAAAGACTTTTACTTTTCTTATTATTAGCATGACAAAATTACTGGATGCCGATTGGTTAAGAGGAGTACAATTATTTCATTAATTGTACTGCAGTACAATTAATGATTTTCCCAAAACAAACAAAATGGCGGAAAGGTATTTTGAACATAAATGTGAAATGAAATTGCCCTTGAGGAACTAGATGAAAATATGAACAAAAGCATGAAAGTACGAACAAAAGTACCAAATTTTGGTTGAAAGTCTTGCAGGACTGGGCTTTGGCGAGAGAATATGATGTTGACGGAGAAGTATCCAATTTTGTCATCTGCTAATAATAAACAAGTAATCATGCGGTGTTGCTCGTACAATAGATTAATAGTACTCGTGATGTTTGGAAATTTGCCATATTGGACTCGCTCCGGCGGCTCGTCCAATTTTGGCAAATTTCCAAACATCACTCGTACTATTAATCCCTAATTGTACTCGCCATCGCATGATTACCTTAGTTTACCTATACTTATTTTAATGGACCAGCGCAGTATGGGAAAGAGCATATGTTTAGCAGACACAAGGCATATGTACAAATACAATATGATGAAATGTTCTTGAGCGAATGCGTTCAAACTGCGCAAGCATAAAATTCTGCATGCCCTGGCTGGGTTTCCAACCCCGCAACCTAGCTATGAAATGCTATTGTATGTAGCTCGACACTCTTCCAACTGTTCGACATGGTCAGGTTCGATAGAGGACTAGAAATTATGAGCTTCATACTAATTATTGTAAACATTGACAGAGGAAGGGTCCTGGTTCAGTACTACTGATCGTACTGGACCAGGAACTGGCCGAGTTGGTACGCCATGCAAGTTATCACTTCGTTGATCACCACGTTGATCGATCGTTTTAGAACTCAAACCTTTGCATTGTTTCAAACCCTTAAGTTAATGTTGGTTCGGCGAGGCATTTTTTAAATATGTTAAAATAATCTTAGTATATACATGCAAATTACGTGTACTTTGATGTAATAATAGTGCATTTTCCCGCGTATTACTATGGGCGAACAATTAATGATTTTAAATATATTCACAACTGTCTTTGACAGTGTAGGTACTGCCAATAGAATGAACAAGCTTTCGTTGGTAGGGATACAACTACCTGAAAATATATAAGGATAATTTCAAATTCTATTCACTTCCATATTGTTATATTTTCAGGTCAGGATATTGAGAAGAGATCCCAATGATCCAGCCACGGGGAGCGGTAATAATGAGAGTGATACAAGTATAAAAGTCCACAAAACCTTAGCTCAACGAGAAAAAGAATATGCCGACGCACGGTAGGTACAAGTGTGAAAGGTATATGTAGTATGCGGATGCAGAGCCATCTCATCTAAGTGCCTGTTTATATGGTCCTGCCAAGGCGGGATAGCACTATTTTAATTTTGGGATAGGTAATAGGACCTCTACATGCGTCTTGGACCTGTGGTGTACTTAAAATCATTATTTATCTAATGGATTACTGTTATTTTCAACGGGGTCTTGAAAGTAGACCATGCCGTGAAACATTGTATAAAAGGTGCACGCGTTGTTTTGTGTCTCTTTTTGTCATTCCATTGTAGAAATATCGTGATTGAAGTTAGCATGTGCTGTATGTAAAGTTATTACTTGGTAATTGATAGGTGTAATTTGATGATGCACATGAATTTATCGATATCACAGGGTCGGATTTGACCATACTGCGATGTTGTAAATTAGGAATTGGTAACATGACTTGTGATTGTGCGCTATGTAATTTTCCTGTATCTCATTTCAGTAAAAGGTTTTCTTAAATATATCTTCACAGGGTCTGGAAAGTAGACCATGCAGTGAGATATTGTAAGCTTAATCCTTGTTGTTAACTGTGTATTCCATAATCTGTCCGTCACATGTGGTTAAGTCTATGTGAGGATTGTAGGTTTATCCCTTAGTATTGAAGTATGGATGCAGTTAGATTATGTACATACTCACAGGGTCTTGAAAGCAAACCATGGCGTGAGATATGCATGTCATGAGTCCTATGGTTTGTGTCATGTATCTAACTATTGATAGGTAGAATAAGTAGTTGTTGTACAATCTACAAAAATACGGTTTGTAGAATCTGGCAGAACATTTAATTATGCCACAAGGGTAAACTTTATTTAAAATTGGTGTCTTAGACTAATCATCCCAGATGTTTTGTAAAATGGCGCCCAGGGTCTGGCAAACATTTTTATGACTGCACAGTATGGCAGTCATTACGTAGTATGTACCATATAGGTTAATACCTTTAAGTAATATATATAATATATAATAGGGACTGATTGCCCAAAGCAGTCCGAAGCAGTCCGAGCCAGTTCCGCGCTTCAACGCGGTGCGAATAGGTGACACATTCGGTCAATACCACCAAAAATGACTGTAAAGAAAGGCGAACATGGGTCGAACGGCATGCGGAACGGCCCCGGACAAACTATCCCATTGGTTCCACAAAATTACATTAAGGAGATAAGTGGATGGTATTGGAGAGATGTTGTGATTTTTAATGAAACATTGAATAATGATGTGATTGTGTATTGGGGCTATAGCAAACTTCACAGAGTCTCGGGTTGACCATGCTTGTGAAGTATGTTAGCGGATGGTATATCATATGGAAGATACAGTATATATAGTTGTGTTAATTGTACTTTTTCATTTGTTTGGCCCTCCTACACACTCAAAAATGCACAAGTTGTAACAAACCTGCAGCAGACTTGTAGCAATGCTGTTCCAACAACTTGTCAGCAGGATGTGTTCGCACTGCTTGTTCCCAGCTTGTTGACAAGTTGTCAACGGCTTGTTGACAACTTGTTACAAGGTTTTTGAGTTCAACAGACTTGTTACAAGTTGTGAGTGACAAGCTTGTAGCAGCTTGATAAAATAACAGCATTGTTACAACTTGTTGACAAGCTTGCTACAAGCCTGTTGCGAACACAACTTGTTGACAAGTTGTGAGATTTTTACCTGTGTAGCCGGGAAACTTGCCTAGGCAGGATAGCGTGTTTATCTGGCCAAAACCAGGGCGCTTATTTATAGGACGGTGCAATCGCTGATCGATGTGTAATGCAGAAAGGGACTGGCACGAGCACGCTTTTCGGCAAAAGTCAACCTCGTACCCAGGGCTTCTAAGGGCAGAAGCCCTGGGTACGAGATTGGGCAGCGTGATTTCTCCTGCTGTTGTATTTTCGCTGTTTTTCATTAACTACGAAATTCTTGAGGATGTTTTTGCACTGCAACAACGAAGTAGTAACTATTATATCGTATGAATGCTTGTTTGGCCTATATGTCTGCCGAAATTGGAAAAGGTCTTTCATTTTTTTTTAAATCGTAAAATTGCTTTAAAGTGCAATGCTTATATTCTCGCCTGATTAGTCTTACAAGTGTTGCATCATTTTGTAGCGTTGCTACCTTTTCAGGAGACCTTTGATTGGACTTTAAAATAAGTATTGAGGATAATGACTCGTGTTTTTGATGACTTCAGTGAAGGGAAATTTTCAAAACAGCCTCTGGGGCACCTGTTCCAGCAACTATAGGGTTCGGGTGATTTTGGCCTCCGCCTCTGTCTCCACAAAAGTGGTCTTTACAAAATGGAAATATCCCACTGATCTATATACAAAACACTAAATGGATGCTTGAAGCGTTCAAACTTTCCCTATTTTTATTACGTTCAAATCTTTGGAACTGCATAAAGTACTGTATATGTCGAGTTGTTTGCCTAATCAAACTTTTTTCTTTGGTTGCTATTTGAAAGAAATTGATCAAGAATTCACTTTCAAGGAGCGAAGTCGCTTCGACTAGTTTGTCGAACCATTGTAATATTATGTCGGCCGCTTGAAATTCTTAAGGGTGCGTTGTTTGCTTTGAAATATGGACAACGTTTATTTACAGCATTAAAAGTCACCATCAAAGGTATCAATACTGTGAATTTCGAATTATTAAGAGCTCAAAGCTCTCTTCTACAATACTCAATAGTCATCCCCATTCGTTTACAATATTTTGAAATAGTTGCTTAATTAAAGTCAGTACTAGTTAATAAGGTGGTTAACAGAGGCGCCTTTAGTAAGCCTTCGACTGATCAGGTTGAGCTGCGTCCTTCGCAATTCAGCTTAGCTCTCAGCTGCAAGTAAGGATGATTAGCACACCCCATTTACTTACTTACATACTTCCTTGAATTTCTCGTTCCGCCTAACGGGATCGGCAACAGATAGCGGGATCCCAACTGAGCGGGATCATATAAACACTCAAGAGAGTTACGAACAATATCTTGGAAACTGACCTGTCCAGGGCTTTCAGAATCGTTTCAAGTAATCGGTTGTGGGGAGAGTGTAGGCGATTGTCCGTAATGAACACCCCAGTTACACGATACCGGATTCGCTTGTCACGACATCGAATAGACCTTTCCCCTTTTGAGTGAAATTTTGATCTAGACAAGTCTGGACAAAAATTTCATCACAGCTTGAAAGAGCATCACCAAATTAGTAACATTCCGAAGTTTCGTTGCGAAATGTTGTAAAATGCGGATAATATAGCCTTGCGAAGTTTGCCGTTTTTCAGTCATTTTGTATTACAAATGGGAAATTGATAATCAGTTTGATCATCTGATTATCAATTTCCCATGCGTAATACAAAATGACTGAAAAACGGCAAACTTCGCAAGGCTATATTATCCGTATTTTACAACATTTCGCAACGAAACTTCGGAATATTACTAATTTTGTGATGCTCTTTCAAGCTGTGATGAAATTTTTGTCCAGGCATATCTAGATCAAAATTTCACTCATAAGGGGAAAGGTCGACTATTTAACGGTGTCAGGGTTATCTGAAGCCTGGCGACACGATGCGATTTTAGTCGGCCGATAAAAATCGTTTGACATACGGATATACATCGGTATACTCCGCACACGATTACGAAAAAAATATGCTCCCTGAACTGTAGCCGCCATGTTGCCAAATAAATACAAGCACGTGATCACAGCATGATATCTGATTGGTTATACTTAAAATTCCACCGATAAAAATCGTATAATATCAAAACGTTTTGATGTTGTCCGATTAAAATCGAGCACCAAAATCGGTTAAAAATGACACCGCACACACAACGATTTTGTTAGTTTTAGGCCCCGTTTACACTATACCGGATTGCATCGGAGCGTAGCGATTTTCATATCGGATTCGGCTGCTGTTTACACTACGCCACAGTAATCCGGTACGCGACGCGGAGCAAAAATCACTCCGCTTTGGAGGTGATATGAAAAGTAATCCGGTATGTGCCGGAGCAGTGTAACAGGCCAATCCGGTACGCTTCGGTACAAAATCGGTTTTGGCGTGTATGTTTTAACATTGTCGCCTTTATTTGCTCGCTTTTACAATACTTTATAGCTGTTGTTTGTTTCGCCTTACAATCATTTACTATTTCTGCCGAAGACAAACAAAGAAAATGATAATAACATTGACTTTTGGCTTTTGAAAGAGCAAAATTTAAATAAATACTCTTCAATTTTGGATCAGAGCGAAACGAAGCAACGTCTGGTGGTCAAGCTTTTTAAACAAAGTTATACTTTACAAAGAAAACGTGTGTTACTTCTTGTTTTTAATAAATTTTGATATATTGGTTACTTGTTTCCATGACGACAGTGAAAGACATGAGCTGGCAACAGAGCGAAACGGCATAGTGTAAACACCCTTGTTTTTTTACTTCGGAGTAAAAATTAATCCGGTATGAAAAGTAATCCGGTTTAGTGTAAACGGGGCCTTAGTCAAACGATTTTTATCGGCCGACTAAAATCGCATCGTGTGCGCCAGGCTTTAGCACTTAAAATTGTGATAATATGACAAAATAAATGTATATCAGATAAAGATCGGCTTTAACTAGCACTTAAAAACTGAAAATTCGCGTTGCGTTGTTGAATCGCGTTCAGTCTGTATGGGCCTTTAAGGTACATGTATGACACTGAAAAACAGGCAGTATTGGTAGTGAATGCGGTTTAGAAAAGAGTAAAATATAAGTACAAAAATGACTCCTTTGTTTCATTTGTAAATGTTTTTCGAATTTTCCAATCCTTTTCATTGTAAAAGATGCGACACGGGTTTAGCCATGCATATACTTTATATTTTAAAGCAAGTAATCGCGGTGATATACCTTGCGCCACCCGCCGCGACCGCGTACTATTTTTGAAAGCCCTGCCGTCACGGTTAGCCAGGATCATATAAACAGGCCCTGAAAAGTAGTCGCAGGAAAATATTGAATGAAATAACATATACACTCAAGTGGAATGATTAATGAAAAAAGCGGGATGATTAATTTTGGCAGAGCAAACTGGCCATGCTCACAATTTTCTTGCGAGGCACATGCTTTCCGGAAGGGTGTATTCTTGTAAATATGCAAATGTATCATAAATGTTCACGCCTTGCCAATCCCACAAGGCGATTTATAATACATTTCCCCCTATAAAATATCTCATTCCCATTATACTCTTCGCGCTTGGATAATTGAAATGGCTGTATTCCTTGCAGCAACTGTTGCACAAAGTCAATTAAAAAAATAGGTACGCTGTAGCGTACATGGCGTCTACTGGATCAAAAACAAAGAATGTCAATGACGTCCGGTTTATATTTAACAAATATAAAACATTTTCCGTGTTGATATACAGTTATATCAACATGAGTGGAATTGGGAAAACGAGAAATTGTATGGAAACACCGCCGTCGACGCCCGAGGAGCGGAGTGTTTTCATACAATTTCGATATAACTATATATCAATGACGATATAACTATATATCAATACGGAAAAATGTTTTATATTTTTTTTATAATATAGCAATGTCAAAAGCCCGAAGGATAAGAAAAATTTCCGTGTTTACAAGCGGCGGAAAATTTCCCGTGTTGACATTGAGTTATATCAACACGGCTCTTAGCCAATCAGCGTTCAGAATTTACAAATGCTATATTATAATTACATTTCCGACTTTCGGGTGGGGAATATTAAAATATCTCGGCAAGCATTTACCCGCCCTTTAAAACGAAAACCACCGTTGAAATCCACATAAAACAACCTTTCGAACGGTGGGTCAAATGCCGTCATAACACTACACAAACCAAAACAATCGTGTATTTACTGACCGCTTGGCTAAACATTCTGTACTTCATATGGAGAAAAAATTGAATACCTTCAAACTGACTCTTCAGACTAAGTCAATGAAATACTCCTTGTATTTAAGTGCTTTCGTGTAGAAAGTTTCGTTTGAATACGGCGGACTAGAAAATTTATTTTGAATTTTTCAGAATATCGGGGCGTTACTCGCACGCGCGTGCGACGCGCTAAAATTGGCCAATAATGAACACCGTAGCCCCGATGCACGTGCAAACACGTTACATGAAGGGGTAATATGACCTTTAGAATCGATTTCCGACGTTTCCCGACTGCCAGGATGTAAACATCGCATTGTTTCAGTATGTCAAGGTGGTCAAGCTGTATTTCTGGTCGAAGCTCTCGTGTAAAATTTAGATATATTCTGAAATTCCCGAAATAAAAGTTGCAAATCTGTAGATACAAACTTGAAAATAACACTCTAAATAGTGTCTTGGATTGTATGTAATTCGAACAAGAATATTACGAAAATGATAGGCTGTCAGGGGCCAACCTATCCAAAGAGCCTGTTCGCAGGAGAAGTGAACCGTCCACTCTATATAACGTTCTAAACCTCTTGTCGACAGCATATGGCGACTACTGTTCCAGTAGACGCCAAAAAGCGATTCTGTTTTGTATGCAGCACTAAAAACCTGTATTTTTTATACTACATACTGCTCTATCTAAAGCGTTAAACTGTTATCCCAAGAAGTCCCGGAAAGACATTAGTGAGCTTAAGCAAGTGACGTTTTTGACAACACGAACGGCATGAGTAACGTCAGAAGACTGGATCAAGGGCTGTGATTGGTGAAAAACATCAACTTTACTTCCGGTCGACGTCCGTGTTGTCAAAAACGTCGCTTGCTTAAGCTCACTTATGTTCAGTTTTACTCACTGACCATGCAGTGCAGGCTTTACCCCAGGAAGAAACCGAACTACACTCTTCTGATTAATCTAGACAGTTTTGGGTCATTATTAATGCGTTAAATTTTTCATTCTTAGCGCAAGGATACTTGGCGAAGCTACAGAAAGTAGTGCAGAAGAAACCAGGTATGGTATACTGTATTTCTGAGTTTTTGATATTCCACAACTTTTATTGAATGTGATTTTTCATTTAAGGCTAAAACCGACAAATCTTATATCCTTAATGTCTACATTATTTCGAGGGCCGATCATGCTGTACAAAATAATCGGCCGATTGATCGCCACCTGACGATTGTCGTTTTTTGCTAGTCACCAGTCCCGTATAGATGACTGTGCAGTAGGTTAAATTGGTTTATTTGCCTTTATTTCCTCCTTATTAAACAACAGAAGTGTTTTGTAGAATCTTTGAGAATAAACCACAAGGTATAATCATCGAAGTTCTACATTGAAAAAATAGAGGATGCGTAGCCAGGTTGAAACATAATTTAATTATTGAACGTTCTCTGACTAAATATTTATTTCTACGAGCTTTCGGCTATCAGTCTATAGCCTTCGACGGGTGTAAACAAATGATTCTATAAAGGACGCTAAACTTAAGTAGGTGGTATGAAATATGAGACTATCTATGCTATGTTACAAATGAGGAATATAAATATTTAATTAATGTTTCTTGAGTTCCTTTCTTAAAAGTATTGTGTATTGTGCTGAGAATACCTAGAATACTGAGAATACCGAGAATACCTACCGTAAGCTACACTCAAGTGACGCAATTTCTCCGGCCATCAGAGGCTCCATCAAGCATCACAAAGTAGGTTACCCACTTAGACCTATAGTTACATGTATCGACTCAGCTCCTTACAAAAATCCTTTCTCCACTACAAAACAAAAACGACTTCTCAGTAGCTAACTCACTCAATTCAAAAACGAAATTTCCAACATTACCATAGACGAAGACGAATCTATGATTTCATTTGACGTCGTTTCCCTTTTTACAATCATTCCTGTTGATAAAGCGTGCAAATATATTAGAACGAAATTAGAAAACGATCCGACACTTCCGGACAGAACTCAACTTGACATTGACGACATTATTCGACTTTTATCTTTTGTTTTATCTAACAGTTTTTTCGTTTATAACAACACCACCTACAAACAAATTCATGGATGTGCCATGGGCAGCCCCGTTAGCGCGATTGTTGCTAACTTGTGCATGGAAGTGATAGAAGAACAGGCCATCCGAGACGCAACTTCACCACCTAAAGTTTGGAAACGTTTTGTAGACGATTGTTTTTCCATAATAAAAAAGACTAACATATCATCTTTTCATGACACACTAAACTCCATTGACCCACACATTCACTTCACTATCGAAAACGAAAGGGACGGAAAGATGACACATTAGTTTCTAGAAACGACGGCTTAATTTTTATTGACGTTTACCGCAAACCCACTCACACAGACCGTTACTTAAACTACCTATCACACCACGACCAAAAGCATAAAATTAGTACTGCAACAACACTTATCAACCGATCCTTGTCACTTCCTACCACTAACGAAAGCAAAGAAAGAGAACTAAATCATGTAACCACAGTCCTGACATCAAATGGTTATCCGAAGAAATTAATTTCAGGATTGATCAAAAAACATAAGAACAAAACTGTAGCAAGTCCTGAAGAGTTAGTGCGGTCATTTTTCGTACTGGTTGAAGGAAAGGCGCCATCTGCAGGAATTGCGGTTCTACCATATATCAAAGGACTAACCGAACCTCTAGCCAGAACACTCCAAAAACATGACATTAAAGTTTATAATAAGCCAATGAAAACCCTCGAACGCCAACTCCCATCTGCAAAACAGAAACCACCAACAGAAGAACAAAAGAACGTGGTCTACCAGATACCGTGTCAAGATTGTAGTTGGAGCTACATAGGCGAAACAGGAAGATCCCTGAAGACGAGAAAGTCCGAACACGTAAGGAATGTGAAACAAGGCAAGAAGGGGTCGAATGTCGCGAAACACACATGGACTCAAGATTATATAATTGACTTTGCCAATGCTAAAGTAATAGACAAGGGAAATCATAGGAACCTTAAAACCTTAGAGTCCTGGCACACTGCACTAACAGACGAAGCTGATAATAGATAGCTTAAGATCTACGACGTCGACGTCAGCTAGGACGTCAGGGCTAAGCAGAGGACTGGGACTAGGATGTCGTCCTAAATAAGTAGATAGCTCAATATCTACGATGTCAAATATTTAGGACGGCAAGCGGAAGTAAATTGGTAATAGTTTTTGAAGTGTGCATGTGTCTCATTCAATTCGCTCGTCGTCCACCAAACGTCGACAATCTCACAATAAGAGTTTTACCGTCGTGGATACAAGAGCATAACAAACGGTAATGGTTCACACGTCTCTTTTAAATTTATTTTCAAAAGGATGTAAATATTTATAGTTTAAATGTCGACGTCGTGAATCTTAAGTGGAAGTTTATTTATCTAGGACGACGTCCTAGTCCCAGTCCTCTGCTTACCCTGACGTCGTAGCTGACGTCGACGTCTTAGATCTTGAGCTGTCTAATAACTCTAATACGCTTCCAGCACAATACACAATACTTTTAAGAAAGGAACTCAAGAAACATTAATTAAATATTTATATTCCTCATTTGTAACATAGCATAGATACTCTCATATTTCATACCACCTACTTAAGTTTAGCGTCCTTTATAGAATCATTTGTATACACCCGTCGAAGGCTATAGACTGATAGCCGAAAGCTCGTAGAAATAAATATTTAGTCAGAGAACGTTCAATAATTAAAATGAAGTTCTACATATCAAAATTAATATTATGGAATGATAAATTTTAACGTCGGAATATGAAGTACAGTAAACATAATTCTTCGTACAGCCGATTATCGTGCCATAATCGGTTGGCTAGCTCGTCTCTATATAGTGTTTGCTCCCTGTGGAAATATTTTTATTTTGCCGAGAATCAGCAATTTTTCACTTTTTGCCTGGCGAGATACACTGTACTCACCTAAAACCACGTGACCAAAAATCAGCCAACCACACGTGCCATATAACAATTCTGTTTCATTTTACAGTCCTCCAATAAAAGTAAACACAGAGGAAAAACTACCAGACAACATTATTCGACAACCAAGGTTAGTATAACGACCTGGGCCGCTGGGCGTCAGCTCACTTACACGTGTAAAAAATATAGTTACACGTAAACTACACACGCAAAAATGCACAGCCTGTAACAAGCCTGCAAACAAGTTGTTACAAGTCTGTTCACAAGCTGTCAACAAGTTGTCTTCGCACTGCTTGTCCCAGTTTGTTGTAACAAGTTTGAAACAAGCTGTTAACAACTTGTAACATGCTTGATGGCATTATCAGCCTTGTTACAAGACTGTGCTAACAAGTTTGTTACAGCCATGATATAACAAGGATGTTACAAGGTCGTCAACACAAGGTTGTAACAATCTTGTTATATCAAGCATGTATAACGGACTTGTTGGAACAACCTTGCAACAAGTCTGATAATTTCGACAAGGTTGTTACAAGTTGTCGACAAGTTGTTACAATTGACAACTTGGGACAAGCAGTGCGAATACATCTTGTTGACAGCTTTTTGGCAGACTTGTTACAAGATGTGAGATTTTTGCGTGTGTACGTCAAGTGTTCCACTTTTGAGTTCCTAACTTTATTGCAATCTTCCTCATTACCTTTGCAAATTTGAAAAACTCCCTTGTAAATTCCTTGAGGGAATTTGCAATGTTCCAATTGAGGAAATTTGCAATGGTCCTGAATTTTCCTCAGTTCCTGTAGAAGTTCTTAATAACTTCTTATTCTGTTATGTTCGTTGGTATTGGCTAACAAAAAAATCCACCAATGGTAACGCTCAGAACAGAACAGGAAGTCGGGAATTTAAAACAGGAAGTTAGGAAAATTTAAAAGGAAGTTTCTCTGCATTGGAATACTGCAACAGCCGATAAGAACATAAATTGGAAATTCCCTCAAGGGATTTGCTAAATTTGGAAAGGTAATGAGGAAAATTGCAATCAAGTTAGGAACGCAAAGGTTTTATCGTGGTAGTCTTTCGCGGCGAATTTTTAAAATTTTTTCGTTTACCAATCACTTTGCGGAAATTCGTGTCGAAAACCGGATTAAACGTACATTTAAGGTATTTTTACAGGCTGCAATTTATCGTGCACGATTCGTATTCTGGCGTATGAAAATTGCTGTCGCCACGGCAATTCCTCTTCATTTAGTTTATGGCGAAATTTGAAATGCAAACACTTCACGTGTGCTTATTCGATTACATACGCCAGAATAAGAATCGTACAAGACAAATCGCAGCGTGTAAACCAGCGCCTTGGTATAAACGTAGCTTTACACGCCGTGATATGTTGGGCCGATGTCATTTCCACGAATCAGATTACAGGAAAAGCAATAGCGACTCACCCATTTCTAATAATAAGGAATGACTGAGACTGAACCTCTAACTCCTTAAGCCCGGCGCACACTAGTGCAAGTTGCACGCATACGTATCATTCGTGACCAATTACGTGCGACAAAAATACTAGTGTGCGGGGAAAATATTCAGGATTTTTATTATTATTATTATTATTAAAGGTTTATTAAGAAACACATTTTGGCACCCGAAGGTGAATTGCAATATGCTTACAGAAACATAATAAAGGATGAATATCAAATAATATAAATATAGATATATCGTATATATGTACAGTTGTTAAAATACTACAAATTATTTACTATTAAAATTAGCAGTCATTGCTGGTATAAAACTAGTTTTAAAACGTTCCGTTCTGAATGTGAAGTTAGAATTGTTTCTTAAGTCCAGTTCATGCGATTCTTCACGGAGTGGGGGTAAGAGGTGGTTGAGGTGAGCATCGGGTTTTAAGATCTTTTTGAAAGTTTTAGCACATAGCTCTTGACGTCTGTCGACAAGGCGCTTGCATTTAGCGATGTTGAGAGCATCTTCGTAATCTGTTGTCGGATAAATAATACGGACAGCTCTTTTTTGAACTTTTTCAATTTTATCCCCCAAACACTTTGGTAACATGGTGTGCCAGACAGGACAGGCATATTCTAAGATAGAGCGCACCATAGAAAAGTAGACTAATAAGAGGTCATTGGGGGGAAGACCACAGCGCTGTAGGACACGAATAATGTATAAGCGTTTTGAGGCTTTTTTAACTAACGCTTCAGTGTTATCTTGCCATTTCAATTTATTGTTCAATTTTTGGCACTCGTGTCGCGAACAACAAATATCAAACGCATGTTTGATATTTTCTGTCATTCGTGACAAAAATCCTAGTGTGCGGCAAACAGCTCGTCTCAACTTTTGGCAGCAAAGAAGTGCGCATGCGTGATATTCCCCAAAACAACATGCGCACTTCTTTGCTGCCAAAAGTTGAGACGAGCCGTTTGCCGCACACTAGGAATTTTTGTCACGAATGACAGAAAATATCAAACATGTTTGATATTTGTTGTTCACTACACGAGTGACAAAAATCCTGAATATTTTCCCCACTAGGATTGTTGTCGCACGTAATTGGTCACGAATGATACGTATGCGTGCAACTTGCACCATAGTGTGCGCCGGGCTTAAGGCTCGTGTAAGAATTATCCTGTATAAAAAACATCTACTTGCAAACATTCCTCACTTACATTACATCTACTTAAAGATATGTATTTTTAACATAGGGGACCCGACGGAACCCATGGTTTTGCTTTAAAACGATGACAAATGGCAGAGAAAATCGAAGCAAACATGATCCAAGACCCAAACTAAACCTGTTTTGGGGACTTTTAAAATGACTCAGATGTCCAACTCCTGTCATTTCCGGCCACGTCTGTCTGGTTAAGCCAAAAGTCAAGCACTGAGAACGGAAATATCGCAACCGTGAAAAAGGCATTCGGGAAAAAGTTAGAGAGATGGTCTTGGCAAACACAACCTGTGATGAAGGATGGTGTAAGATTACAAAGGTATGATGGATCCAAGGGTATATGGTGATTGCAATTGCAAAAGATTTCATCCGTTATACAGCGTCAGCTTATTAACCAGAGATGGAGATTCAATAGTATACGGCTTTGCCAACTTAACCTTTCTCGATCTGCAAGGAACTTTTACGGAGTGATATAGAAATTAATTTAAAACTTCATAGAATTTTTTACTTAGTAAATGACTTTTGGATATGAAGGGTTGGCAAACTACAAAACATTGCTGCATAAACATCTAAATCGTGATATTTTCTCAAATGCAAGCGTGGTAGTAGCGAAGTAGTTGTAGTTCGATACGTAATCGTTGCGATTCTTGAGAACTACAAAAGTTTTGTGGTCAACCCACCCTCACTCAAATGTTCTCCTGTTTTGCATTTGTTTCCAGGAAACTTGAGGATTCTATAAAAATTATTTTATATTTTCCATATTTTATGTACTTTTAACTCTATGCTATCACTATCAAATAAATGACTTATATTGTATAAAACATGTTGTAAGGTAGATTGTTCTCATTCATATATTCCTACTTTGTAAATAACTAGGAAAAAAACCCCTGAAATTAAAAGGAAATTAAAAGGGCAGGGTCACGGCGCTGATAGGCTAAAATAAACGGCGTAAAGAAACGTTCAAAATTAATGCTACATGATTGGAAAAGATGCAGCAGCCTTCAATTTTTAAAACAAAGCAAGGATGTCCTGCATAACGAAGGGATTATAAATAGTATATCGTATTTCACTCCTAACTTGATTAATTGTTGGAAGACAGTTTTTCAAGTGGAACCGTGACACTGCCCCTTTGATGCACAGTATTACTATAGCTTACATGCATGCCCTTATCACACAGCAATGAATTTGATTAAATTTCTATGAATTAAATTGTATATCAATCTAATAGTTGGCGTTTAAGACGTGTTTTTAGTCTAAAATTTTCTGTAGGTGATAGAGGTATAAAATAAAGATAATAGATGAGTAGTGGATAGATAAGTCGATAAATGAAAAAAACTATGGACGATAGATAATACAGGTGATAGATGGATAGACTAGACGACAAACAGGCTATAAATTAGACCATATATGATAGGCGAATAGACAATATAGATGATGGACGAATAGACTATACATGATAGATTAATAAACTTTAGTACACACTCAACCAGGGCCTATTGCAAATCTAGCATTTTGATTGGCTAAGTCGACCAGGGACCATTACGTACACAGTTGAGAAAAAAGATGGCGGAAAACGTTCGTTTTGCAAAGGTCTCGGGGGAAATTTTGTAGAAAATCCTTTCCCCCAAGAACAAAAGACTACAAAATATGATCCGAAGACGTTTGATGGTAGGGAGCAAAATTTAAACCGTATTTTAATAGTAAATCTGCTGTTACTTGAAATGTATTGTTGATCGAATGCCCTTAAGCCCTGGGCAAACTAGGAAACAATGTTTCCTGCCAACGTTTCGCCATGTTTCCCAAGGTGGGCAAAACTAGGAAACAATGTTTCCGCAACAAAAATCGCACTTGCGAAACATGAAATGTTTCTGAATTCGAAATGTTTCTGAATTCGATAGGAAACATTTCTGCTTCTCGGGAAGAAAATTGTGTTTCTGCAACTATGTTTCCACGGGTGGGCAAACACAGAAACATTTAAAGAAACATGGGGAATCACAATGTTTCCGCAACAATGTTTCCTAGTTTGCCCAAGGCTTTATAATTCAAGCTGCGCCTTTGTCGAATATTCGTCCATGGACAACTCGGCAATAGATAATAGATAGATGAACAGAGTATATATAGTCTATAGATGATTGACAAATAGACTATAGATGATTGATGGATAGAGTATACCGTAGATGAAGAGAATATAGATGATATAGATAATAGACTATAGATCATAGATGAATAAATTATAAATGGATAGATGATAGGATGAAGAGACGATAGATGACAGATGAATTGACTATAGATGATAGAATATATTGATGACAGATGAAAACCCCACGCATTTCCATATAGATTTTTGATATGGTATTAACCAGACATTTTCCGGAATATACTTTCCCTTGTTAAGCTTAGAAAATACAACTCTAATGACACAATCCTAGCTACGTTTTTCACGTATATTAGTTTGTGTTCGGCAGTCTAGCGCATCTAGTAGTTTTGTTTGGACAACCACGAGCGCGTAGTGTCATATTATGTGTGGCCAACTTCACCGCTTTCCTTTGCCTGGGTGATTTTCTTCCAGGGGATGTTTTTCGTACCGGAGTAACAAACGATATAGGGCTGTCTGTTGGTGATTGGTGTGGCGTGCTGAGCTTCGCAGATCTAGGAATTGACAAAATATTGGTTAAAAATATTGCTTAATTATGATTTGCATTACGTCATACATACGTGAAAATAGCGAGTACTGGATGTCATGGAAATATCTTGGTTCAATACGTTCTTGCTTGAAATCAAGAACAACGGTCAAAGTAGTTTCACGTTTGTGATTTCAAACGCCTGCCTATATAGTCAGGCAGATAGAGGATCAAAATTATGGAAAACTTACTTTATCGTGGGACAATTCCATTTTGCCTTCATATTGTGCCCTGAAGGCTAGTAAGTACGTTTCTGTATGTTGGCCGAGTTAAAATTTCTTGTGGGCTCCTGCCGACACTTTTTTCTTCGAATTTTGTATTAAACTCTATTACAGTTTAAAAATGTAAAATTTCTGATACATTTCTAATACAAATGATTTGCATCAATAGAAAGCTAACAAAAAACTACATATAGACATTTCAATGGTTAGTTGGGATTTTCAAGCGGTTTTCGAGTTATTGCCGTTTCAAATGTGAAAAATAAGCCAAAAGAAGAACTTGAAAAACCCGGGTAACCGTTTAAATGTCTTATATGTAGTTTTTTGCTAGTTTTCAAATGGTGTAAGTCATTTGTGTTAGACATGTACTTGAAATTTCACATTTTTTAACTGTAATAGAGTTTAATACAAAATTCGAAGAAAAAAGTGTCAGCAGGAGCCCACAAGAAATTTTAACTCGGCCAACATACAGAAACGTACTTACTAGCCTTCAGGGCACAATATGAAGGCAAAATGGAATTGTCCCACGATATGGTAAGTGTTTTCCTTCTATCTGCCCGACTAATACTTGAATTCCGGTTGACGTACGTGTTGTCAAAAACGTCGCTTACTTAAGTTCTCTGCTCTGTGTTATTTTTCCGGCTTTTTCATTTCTAGTTCGTTCACAAAATATGGGAAAAAGGCAGTCCTCGCTTTAACAAGTTTACCCCTTTTGTGACGTTACCAAAATCCCAGGTAACATGGCGGACTAAATGCTGCTTATGGTAAAAAATAGGTTATAATTCCATGTCCTGTACACACTAAATGAGCAAAAGGGGAAAAATATTCCGCCTGAACCTAAAAGAACCCTGTTAAAAACTCTCTTGTTTAAAAACTTTTATCACGGTTAGGGTTCAGGGGCAGGTTGTTCGAAAGCCGAAAAGTTTAACCCTAGCAGCAAGTAAAATTTTAACCGAGAGTTGGCACTAATACGGCTTTGAACAACAGGTCCAGGGTTGTTTTATGGTCAATAGTACATGGTTTTTGTAGATGAAATTTTCGAGTTACACACATTTTCAGACCTAACCACTGATCACCAGCAGCGGTTGAAAAACTGTGATTTTAGGGTCAGGCTTTAGTCAATGTTATCTATTTTCTTTCATTAGCATATTTAGTGTGTATAGGACATGAAATTATAACTCAAATATCACTAAAACGAAGAATGACAGAAAAGGATTGTAAATGATCTTCACATATTAGCGAGGTTAAAAAAGCGACGTTTTATGACAACACGGACACAGAATAAACACATACAGAAGTCCGACTTTGTGTTTACTCCTTTGATATTGGCGCTTTCGTAACCGGTGCAATGCTGTCGCCATGTTCCTAGCCAGTGCATAATTTTGGACCCCCGTCCCCCCGCATTGAAAATATTGAAAAAGCTACACTGCGAATCATGGAGTGACGGCGGTTACGCTTTCTAAGCTGAGTTGGCCTTCAATACGCTCTCTATTCTGTGATAACGGCTCGATTTACTTCTGCTCGGTGTTCATGAATAATAATCCGTTGCTTGCTCAAGATCTCTATATTATTTTTAAAGTTCTTCCAAATGAAACTTTTATTGCCATTTTAAGTTATACAAATGCCTAACCTTCTTCGTTGAGCAGAGCGTGTCAAAGGAGGAGAGGCTCGGTTTGGCGTCAGCCTATTTGGTGAGCGGGAGTGACGTCGATCTGACTGAGAAGGGGTAACCACGGGAGTGCGCGTACCAGGGTATGGGGAAACAGCGATGTCATCCAAATATATACGGGGGGATATCTAAAAACGATAAGACTTCACATTCCTGATTCCGTTTTCACATTCGAATGTAGAACGAGACAGATGACTTTCATAAAACCACCATAAGTCAAAGGGATAAATCTATCAGTCAGTAGCATAAAGGTCAGTAGATATTATTTGGATTAAATTAGACTAACTTGGATATTTTTATATATTTTCCCGTATATAGGTCCAGAGCTTCCCTTATTGTCCCGATGTTTTTACAGGAAAACTAACTAACCTAGCTTTGCTCTATCAGTTTTGTCTAAACTGTTCTCTCCACAGCAGTAGAAGCCTAGACGGGCCAGTAAAAGAAGTCCCTCACTGGTTCAGTGTTACAGCAAGAGAAAACGAAACTTCTCTACTTTATCATAACGGGTAGCTCCGTTGTAAAGGTTTCTCCTTTAGGGGTTTAGGACGTGCCCTCCCTTATTGATCCATCAAAGACGGGGCAAATCTTCGGGATAGTTTCCCCGATCGCACTCCTCTCCATATATTCTTATACCTCTACTTGGTGTAAACTCGTAGAGTGAGGTAAATTTGCCGAGGGTAAATGTTCGGAGGGCAAATCATCCGGGGTGTGATGCTGTGTAGTCGGAGGTTGGAAATCGACGAGGGTCGTATCTCGTAGAGGCATAAAGCTTCCTTCCGTACGGGCTGGTGACGAAATGGCAGCTGTAGGTGGAGAAGGAGGGGGTTGGTTAGGTGGTGTTGCGGGTGAAGGGAGTTTAGTGATTGCTGCTGTAGACAAGGTTTCGGAAGGCGCCTGAAATTGTTGAAAACAAAAGATGTAAAGCATTCCTGTACTAACCATTCAACAAATCAAAATGCTTAGTTGAATACAGTTGCAACGAATGAAAACGAATGCTCAGCATAATGCACGCATAGAGACTAAAAAAGAGCATTGCCGGATAAATTCAGTCAAACGAAAGGGACAAAGTGTGTAAAACCCGAGAAAAGTCACTTTTCACCATTTCGCTACAATTCAGGTATTGAAGCCTGCATGGTTTTATCGACAGTCCTGACTGTTTTACATTTACTTGTGGGAAAAAATTGAGGACCCTTTTGGGTTCAACACAGAAACAACCAATTTAAAACATTTCTATCGTTCGAAAACTTGCTTTGTTTTGCCCTCATTAGGGCAAATGTAGTGAGCAGTACAATTTTTTCGAAATACAGTGCCAAAAAGCGAAATACCATGCAAAAAATGAAATATAGTGCAAAAAGTGAAAATAATACAAAAAACCCAAACATTACGAGTGACAAAATTTTCTAATAAAATTTTTTATATTAATAAAATTATCTATCTCGCATGTGATCTACACATGGATATGACTGCATAATTTTTTCAAGTATATTATTAACTAGTAATAGTACGGTTTCTCGTGGAATTTGGAAAAACATACACTCATGCATGAGTGTATGTTTTTCCAAATTCCACGAGAAACCGTACTATTACTAG